CCGCATGCGGACTGCGCCACTGGGACCCTCGGTGCAGCTCCCTCTTGGGCCACGAAGCACTGTACTGGATGGGGGAACCGCATGCGGACTGCGCCACTTGCACTTTCGGTGGAACGCCCTTTGTGTCCACGAAGCGCTGTATTGGGCGGGGGAACCGCATGCGGACTGCGCCACTGGGACTCTCGGTGCAGCTCCCTGTGGGGCAACGAAACGGTTTACTGGGTGGGGGGACCGCATGCGGACTGCGCCACTGGGGCCTTTAGGGGAGCTCCCTCCAGGGCAACGAAACGTTGTATTGGGCGGGGGAACCGCATGCGGACTGCTCCACTGGGACCTTCGGCGGAGCTTACTCCGGGGCCACGAAACGCTGCTTTGGGTAAAAGAACCGCATGCGGACTGCGCCAGTGGGACCTGCGGTGGAGCTCCCTGTTGGGCCACATAACTTTGTACGGGGTGAGGGAGCCGCCTGCAGACTGCGCCAGTGGTATCTTCGGTGGATCTCCTTCTGGGGCCGCGAAACGTTATATTGATTGGGGGAACCGCATGCAGAGTGCGCCACCTGGACCTTCGAAGGCCACGAAACGCTGCACTGGGCGGGGGAACCGCGTGCGGACTGCGCGACTGGGACCTTCGGTGGAGCTCGTTCTGGAGCCACGAAAACGTTGTACTGGGTGCGGGAACCGCATGCGGACTGCGCCACTGGGACCTTCGGTGCGGATTCCTGTGGGGCCACGAAACGCTGTGCTGGGTGGGGGAAACGCATGCAGAGTGCGCCTCTCGGACCTTCGGTGGAGCTCCCTCTGGGGTCGCGACACGATGTACTGGGTGGGGGAACCGCATGCGGACTGCGCCACTTGCACTTTCGGTGGAACGCCCTTTGTGTCCACGAAGCGCTGTATTGGGCGGGGGAACCGCATGCGGACTGCGCCACTGGGACTCTCGGTGCAGCTCCCTGTGGGGCAACGAAACGGTTTACTGGGTGGGGGGTCCGCATGCGGACTACGCCACTGAGGCCTTTAGGGGGGCTCCCTCCGGGGCAACGAAACGTTTTATTGGGCGGGGGAACCGCATGCGGACTGCTCCACTGGGACCTTCGGCGGAGCTCACTCTGGGGCCACGAAACGCTGCTTTGGGTAAAGAAGCGCTCACTCTTGGGCCACTGTACTGGGCGGGGGAGCAGCATGCGGACTGCGCCACAGGGACCTACGGTGGGGCTCCTTCTGGGGCTTCGAAACTCTGTTCTGGGTGGGGATCTCGCAGGACTGCGCCACTGGGACTTTCGGTGGGGCGCCCTTTGTGTCCACGGAGCGCTGTATTGGGCGGGGGAACCGCATGCGGACTGCGCCACTGGGACCGTCGGTGGAGCTCGCTCTGGGACCACGCTGTATTGGGCGGGGGAACCGCATGCGGACTGCGCCACTGGGACCTTCGGTGGAGCTCCCTCTGGGGCGACGAAGCGCTGTGCTGGGTGGGGGAACAGCATGCGGACTGCGCCACTGGGAACTTCGGCGGAGCTCCTTATGGGCCACAGAGCGTTGCATTGGGCGCTAGGGATGAGGGGGGAGGGCGGGGGCAGCGGGAGGAGTGAAAAGGCGCGGCGATGTCTTTCCAAAAGGAGGATCCAACGCCACAGCATGGTCGGGGCGAAAAGAAGACATCGCATGTCTTGGGCGTGGAGTTTGAGGGCAAGGGTGGAGGGGGGCAGTGGGAGGAGGACGGCAATGAGCAGCGAGTACGGAGGATGGGGGGGCGGGGGAGAAACGGCGTAGACTGGATAGAGGAGGAAGGAGGGTGGCTGTCAGGAGGGAGGCGGGTGAAGGCAGGAGGAGCAAGCAACCGCCGCAGCCGACGCAGCATATAATACCAGCAGCAGCAGACGAAACCCTTCACAGTAGTGGCGTCGATCCAATTCGTCGCTTGAGCAGTGGCAGTAGCAGCGGAAGCCGTAATCCGCAAGGGCTTCGCCCCCTGCCGTCAGCCCCCTCTTTATCATAGTGAGACATGTCAGAGTCGCGTCGGTGCGTCGTGGCGCCGCCTTGGCGCATCTGGGAACGTCGTGCGGGGGCGGATAGGAATCACCAGCGCATATCGCGACGTCGGCGTTATCCTAATGGCTTTCGGCGAATCCCCCTTACCGTGCTTGGGTTGTGGCCTGAGGTCTGTTGTATATGTGTTGTGGTGTCGTGGGAAGCCTCTCGGGGGCCTCCTGGAGACGGTTTGGACGCTTCTTGGGGGGCCGCTTGGGGCCTCGCGGGGTCACGAGGGTTCATGGTTTGGGGGGCGCGGCTATTGTATACTGTGCGAGGGTGAGTGGCCTCGGGGACGCGAAGATGGCGTAAGCTACAAGGATGTGTTGCCTCAGGGGGCGCAGGTATTATGCAATCTCGAGGGTGCATGGCCTCGGGGGCGCATCTACGGCATACTGTAAAAAATGCATGACCTCGGGGGCGCGACGGTGGCGTAACTCAAACAGGTGTGTGGCTTCGGGGACGCAACTAGTATGCAATCTACTTACGCAGGACGAAAGATTTTCCTCTTGATGTGAAAATGGCCATGAGGAGTTCGCGAGACAACGTCGGCGCCGCCGAACGGACGGCGACGGGACGAGCTGTTTGCAGCAACTGGAGGGGATGTATGTATGTATTCATGTTGAATGGAGCCCGTTCGCGCGGGGAGTTGATGGGAGTGCGCGAGACGACGCTGGGCCCATCGTGGACAATTGATTACCGAACCCCCCTCCCCATAGAATCTTAACACGGGCGGTTTGCGGGGTCCGCGGATCCGATTTCTTCCGGTTCCCTGGTTTAATTTAATAATATAATAAATTTGAAACAGGGTAGAAATCGGATCCGCCGTAAAAAATAAGACCGGACACGGATCCAGCTAATCCGAAATCAGATCCGTACGGACGGAAATCGGATCCACCGAAACAAACACCAAAACCACATTTGGATCCGCGCGAGCTTCATGAGATCCGACGGCGGTTATCTCATACGGGTTCTGCTCAAGACTCCACACCGTCTTTCCAGGCCCAAGAGGAAAAAACTTTCGTCCTGGGGATGTACGAGGGTGCATGGCTTCGGGGGCGCGAGCATTGAATGATTTACCAGGCTGCATGGCCTCGGGGACGCGACGACAGCGTAACTTACGAGGGTTTGTGGCCTCGGGGACGCAACTCTTAAGTAATCTATGGTGGTGCATGGCCCCGGGGGCACGACGATTGCATACTGTTTGAGGGCGTATGGCGCATGGCCTTCGGGGCGCGAGAATGGTGTAATTTACGAGGGTGTGTGCCCTTGGAGGGAAACAAGTTCAATGATGCACGAGGGTTTTTGGCCTCGGGGACGCGAGCATTCTATACTTTACGAGAGTGATGGCCCCTGGGGCGCGAACCTTAGTTTGTTTCACAATCCTCCTTGGCTGGGTATTCATTTTAAATAGAGCACTGCGGTCTCTGGTCCTCCTCCCGCCCCCCGCCTCCCGTCTCCCGCTTCCGTCTTGTCTCCTCTGGCCTTGCTCGAACTTGGCCATCCCTGGAGGGTGGGGCTGCGATCAGCGAAACTGTCGCCACCTTCGGGGGCTGCTGGGGAGGCCAACAGAGTGGGTACCCGCCGCAGATTGAAACTCGACCTCGCCATCCCTGGGGGGCTGCGATGTGTGAACAAGTCGCCACTTTGGGGGGTTGTTGGAGAGGCCAACAACCAGGCATTCGCCGCAGATTGAAATTACACCTCGCCATCCTTGGGGGGCTGCGATCTGAGAAATTGTCGCCACTTTCGGGGGCTGTTGGGGGGGGCAGCAAAATGGGTATCCGCCGCAGATTCAAATTCGACCTCGCCATCCCTGGGGGGCTGCGATGTGTGAAATTGTCGCCACTTTCGAGGGTTGCTGGGGAGGCCAACAAAATGGGCATTCGCCGCAGATTGAAATTCGACCTCGCCATCCGTGGGGGGCTGCGATCTGTGAAACTGCCGCCACTTTCGAGGGCTGCTGGGGGGTTCCAGCACAGTGACGTCCTACGCATATTCAAATTCGGCATCGCCATCCCTGGGGGCTGGGGTCTGTGAAGCTGTCGCCACTTTCGAGGGCTGCTGGAGAGGCCAACAGAGTGGGCACCCGCCGCCGATTCAAACTAGTCCTCGCCATCCCTGGGGGGCTGCGATGTGTGAAATTGTCGCCGCTTTCGGCGGCTGCTGGGGGGTCTATTGCAGTGGCGTCCTACGTGGATTCAGATTAGATCTTGCCATCCGTGGGGGGCTGCGATCTGTGAAATTGTCGCCACTTTCGAGGGCTGCTGGGGGGTTCCAGCTGAGTGACGTCCTACGCGGATTCAAACTAGACCTCACCATCCCTGGGGGGCTGCGATGTGTGAAATTGTCGCCACTTTCGAGGCCTGCTGGGGGGCCCAGCACAGTGACGTTTTACGCGGATTCAGACTTGACCTCGCCATCCTTGAGGAGCTGCGATATGTGAAATTGTCGCCACTTTCGAGGGTTGCTGGGGGGCCCAGCACGGTGACGTCCTACGCGGATTGAAATTCGACCTCGCCATCCCTGGGGGGCTGTGATATGTGAAATTGTCGCCACTTTCGATGGCTGCTGGGGGAGTCCAGCACAGTGACGTCCTACGCAGATTCAAATTAGACCTCGCCATCCTCGGGGGGCTGCGATATGTGAAATTGTCGCCAATTCGAGGCCTGCTGGGACGTCCAGCATAGTGGCGTGCTACGCAGATTCAAATTAGACCTCGCCATCCCTGGGGGGCTGCGATCAGTGAAATTGTCGCCACTTTCGAGGCCTGCTAGGGGGGCCAGCATAGCGGGGCCCCGCGGCGGAGTCAAATGGGACCTCCCAAATGCTGGTCGCAGAAATACATACGTCCATGTGTCGTTATCACCCCCGTATGAGGTCGCCCAGGCTACTCATGCCCCGAATTGCGCAGGGGTTGTGTACCTCGCCCAGGTAATTTACGTGTCCCACGGCTCCCTTGGAGTTCTGGGAATCCTCTACGCGCAGCTTTTGGGGTCCGAGAGCCTCCCCAGGCCGCCGCGCCCCACGAAAGCCCGCGACCGGGTCAGCCGCCATGGCAGTCGTGGCGGCGGGCTCAGGGGCTCCATGGGACCAGGAGGCGGCAGAGCCCCTGCTGAGCGGAGCGCTGCCGTGAAGAAGAGGGGATTCTTGAGTGCAGTGCCTTGGAAATTCCAACAGCTCTTGATGGTTGTCGATGGTCTTTCGCCCCACTTGGGCCTTCTCAAGGTTTCTCGTCGCCACGGCAGGCGTCCCTTCAATCTTCTGGTCAGAACGCGCCCCAGGACAGGTTCGGGCGACGTGTGGCGAGGGTCGCCATGAAGAAGGATGTCCCAAAGGACACGGGTCTTGAGGCGTCTGGACACTTTCTGCCTCTCGCAGCACTTCTTTGGCCCATGGAACGATCAGAAGACGACCCAAGGTGGGAAGCTAGTCCTGGGGAAAGCCCTAGGGTTCACCACCCGTTTCCTCCAGGATCCCCTCTCTCTCGCGGCCAGGAGCGAGGAGGGAGTTCTTGAACATGTCCTGGCCGTTCATGAGCAGGATGCTCCAGGAGATCGGGGACAGCATGAAGAACCAGGCGCTGGACGACAAGGACATGCCCAAGTTTGTGGAATCCATGGCCTCGTCCTTCCTGGACAACGTGTGGGCGGACGTGGCGACCGAGATCCAGCGGGGGGTGGAGGACGCCTTCGTCCGCAGCGACCTTCGTGAGCTGGAGGTGCAGCGCAGCAGGGCGAAGAAAGGGCCCGTCGCCGACAGCTGCTGGATGGCTGTGTTTTATCCGGAGGCCTTGGGCCTCATCCCGCCACCACGTCCGAGACTGGTGGGCCAAGGCGCAGCGCAGCGCAAGCAAGTGGAGGCCACAGCGTGCTCCACGTGAGGCCCTCTTGGAAGCCTCTTGGAGGCCTCTTGGCTTTCGTGGGCCCCTTCGGGCCATCGTCTGTGCTCCGCGGGTCCCTTCGCGGCCCCCCTTTCGGGCCCCTCTCGGGGTCGCCTCGGTGGCCTGCCGAGCCCCCATGGGGGTCCTCTGGGGCATCCCGGGGCACTCTCGGGCGCCTCGTCGTGCGTCGTAGGCTCTCTCGAGGCCGGGGAGGCGAGGGGTGCAGGGCCAAAGTTCACGAGAGACATTCGGGCGCTGCGCCACGTGCCAAATGGCACGCCGGCGGACGAGCTGCGCAGGGTAGTGTTGTACCACTTCCTCCCATGTGACAAGACAATGTTTGGAAAGCTGAAGGATCCTGTGTGCCTGCTGTTCTACGCGATCACATGCATCCCACTGCACGGTGTGCGTCCTCTGTTCTTTCTTGCCGTCTTCCTCATGCTCGTGGTCCCCGGGCCACCGGACGAGTTCCAGATCATAAACTTCATCCTTCAGCTCAAGGGTAGTCAGTTCCTGTCGTCGGGCCTCATCCAGATGTCTGCAGGCTCCATGAAGTACTTCTGCTGCTACTCGCGCTACCGCGACTCCGGAGATGCCCTGCTGAAGTGCCTGGACACCCGCGGCCCCGGCGAAGGGGAGGCCTGGGGTCTGGCGGCAGACTACCTCGGCAGCACGCTGCTGGTGTACTCGGCCTGCGCGCTCCTCCTGCGGCTGGAGAAGACGAAGCACGCCGCTGGCAGAGCAGCGCCCGACGAGCAAGAGATGAGGGCGGGGGGGCGCCTGCGCGGCCTGGTCTACTACGACGTGAAGTGCTTCGGGGCCTCGATCCTCTTCCTGGCCGCCATCACGGTCTGGAACGTGCTCCTGAGCGGCGCGGCCAGCTGGTGGCCACAGATGTGCGCCAACGTGTTCTGGTGCTGCGTGCTCTACTCCGTCCTCTCGCTGCCCTTCTTCCTCTTCACCATACCGGGCGTCCAGACGCTCCTCACGCACTGCGACCCCACGGGCCACAACGCGCACGGGGCCTGCGTGCTCTGGAGGCCGCTGTCCAGGAAGGAGACGCCGGCGGCGGAGGGGGCGGCCGATCCCCTCTCTGGGTCGGCCCTCCAGGACTGGCACTACCGGATGGGAGCTCGGCTCATGGCCACGCTGGAGCGCGGGCGCGAAGTGCGCCTGCAGGGCGGACAGGCGGACAACCCGGGCACTTGGAATTACACGGCGATGGATCTGTTCCATGGCATCCAGAGGAGGAGGAGGTCGGGCGGTTCGCCGGAGCGGCGGCGTGCGGAGCGTCTCTCCACCTCTGCCGCCAGCCAGGAGGGCTTCCTCGACGCCCTGCGGCGGAGGCTGGCCACCGCCGACGGTGAGGCGGCAGGAGACATGCAGCCTGATCTTCACGGCACCCTGGCACCGCTGGATTCCGTTCGTTTCTTGACGGAACATACCCACAAAGATCCGTCCGGCAGGACGTTGCATTGCGTGCAGGTGACACCAGAGTCCGTGGGGAGCCTGGACGAGGCCGAGTCCCCCGAGCCTTGGGTGCTCTACAGATACTACACCGACTTCCGGGAGCTGGCGCGCAGCCTCGGCCCAGAGGCCGACAGCCTGGACGCGAGGTTGCCGTCGAGGATGAAGGTGGTGACACGCCAGATGCGGCTCGAGAGGGAGGAGGGGCTCGAGAGGTGGCTCCAGGCCGTGGTGATCGCGAGCAGGGCGCCGAGCGAGGAGCAGCAGCACTGGGCTGGCAAGGTGGCCGCGTTCCTTACCCAGCGCAAGAGGGACCTCGACGTCGAGGCGCAGAGGCTTCGGGCGGATGACGATTCGCCCGCCTCGTCGGACGACGATGAGCGCCGCAGCGGCGGGCCCGCGCTGTCGGAGGGCGACATGCGCCACGACTTCGGGATCTCGTTCCGCACCCACCACTGCGGGGACTGCCAGGTGATGACCAGGAACCGGGGGTGCGGCCGGTGCGAGATGCGGCTGTGCAGGGAGCACTTCCTCCAGCACAATTGCTCGCCCTCTGCGACGGGGCTGGCCGCCGGCCCTCCGCTGCTCGAAGCGAACCTGGTCGCGCCCACTGGGACGGCGGCAGCAGCGCGCACGGCATCCTCCACCGCCTCGGTTCCCAGCGCTGGGCCGTTCGAGACCTTCGGCTCCCTCGTACGTGCTGGGAAGGAGACCCGCGGCGTGGACGCGGAGAGCGACTACAAGTTGGGCGACTTCTCGCGCGGGGCGCTTTCGAAGATCAAGGCTCTCACTGGCTATGCTGCCCCGACGGAGGGCGGTCGCGGAGGGGGCGCTGCAACCAGCAGGCCCTCGAGCTCCCGGACGAGCGCCGAGGCGGGCGCTGCAGGCGCCACGGAGGAGGGCTATGGACAGGGAGTGTCGAGGGGGCCGCCCAGCCTCAGGGCGAGCGCCGCTGCCAACGCAGCGGGTTCTGCTGCCGCGACAGAGCCGTGCCATGGGGAGGAAGCGGCGGGGAGCAGGCCGCCGAGTCCCTGGGCGAGCGCCGCTGCCGCCGCGACGCAGCCAGGCCTCGGAGAGGGCGCGGCGGGGAACGGGCCGCCGAGCCCATGGGCGAGCGCCACCGCAGGCGCTGCTGCGACGGAGCCGGGCTATGGAGAGGGAGCGTCGAGGAGCGGGCCGCCGAGCCCGTGGGCGATCGCCGAGGCGGGCGCGGTCGCCGCGACGCAGCAGGGCTCTGGAGAGGGCGGGCTGATCACACCGCGCCTCGAGGTTGAATTCTCGCCATCTGGCGCGAAGGCAGATGTCGGCCCGCCGCAAGCTGCGCCAGTCGTGGCGCTCGGCTCCAGGCCGCTCGAGACGTCGGCCGCGCTGCTCGAAGCCGGCCTGGCCCCGCCCACTGAGACGGCGGCAGCAGCGCGCACGGCATCCTCCGCCGCCTCGGCGCCCAGCTCCAGGCCGCTCGAGACCTTCGGCTCCCTCGTGCGTGCTGGGAAGGAGACCCGCGGCGTGGACGCGGATAGCGACTACCGATTCGGCGACTTCTCGCGCGGGGCGCTCTCGAAGATCAAGGCCCTCACTGGCTCTGCCGCCGCGAAGGCGGACGGGGGCGCTGCGCCGAGCGGGCCGCCGAGCCCCAGGGCGGGCGCTGCGGCGGGCGCCCTTGCCGCGGCGGCGCAGGGCCGCGGGGGGGGCGGGCCGAGCCCGCCGCCTCACGAGGAGCGGGCCGCCGAGTCGTAGCGCGCTCGCCGCGGGCGCTCGCCGCGGGCGCTCGCCGCGGGCGGGCGCGCCGCGGGCGGGCCGCCACCACGGCAGCCACACAGCGGGCGCCGAGGGCGGGCGGGCCCCGGGTGGTGGTGACGCTTTTCCCTTAGCCGCGCCGAAGGCCTCGGCGGGTGCGCTCGCACGGGCGCTCACAGCACGAGGGCCCCGGACACAGGGGGCCCGCAGCGCACGATCGGGTTCTCTGGCCGCGGCTGGCCGCGGCTGATTGACTCGCCCCCTCTCCCCATGCGCGCCCCATCCGCCCCCTTTCCCTTGCCCCCCATCAGCCCACTCGCCCTCTTCCTCCTGTCCTCTCCTCTGCCTCGTCCCTCCTGCCTTCTTCCACCTGCTCTCTCCCCCCATCACCCGTCCTGTTTCCCCCCTCCTCTATCTTTCTTCCCTCGCAAGGAAGGGGAGAGGGTCGGAGGAGGAGCAGGAGGAGGATAAGGAAGAGGAGGAGGAGGAGGAGGAGGAGGAGGAGGAGGAGGAGGAGGAGGAGGAGGAGCTGGAGGCGGATAAGGAAGAGGAGGAGGAGGAGGAGGAGGAGGAGGAGGAGGAGGAGGATGGAGGAGGAGGAGGAGGAGGAGCGGAGGAGACGGAGGAGGAGAGGAGGGAGGACAGGAGAGGAGGAGGAGGAGGAGGAGGAGGAGGAGGAGAGGGAGCACGAGGAGGAGGAGGGGGAGGAGGAGGAGGAGGAGGAGGAGGAGGAGGAGGAGGAGGAGGGGAGGGGGAGGAGGAGGATGGAGGAGGAGGAGGAGGAGGAGGAGCAGGAGGAGGAGCAGGAGGAGGGCTCTTCCCTCCTTCTCTTCCTCCTCATGCTCCTCCACATGTGTATAATCCCTTCGCAGGAGGGGCCGCTTGACACTTCCGTATGTACTTGTTGCACGCATGTGTTATATGTTGTTAGGCGTTCGATGTGCGCAGGTGTCGGGCGTACATTTGACCCGCGCCCCGATGCAGTCTTGACCTGTCCTGTCCTTCTCCTCCCCTGTTCCGCGGAAGGGACGACAGGGAAGACAGGGAGGGAGGACATGTTTTCGGGCACGAAGGGAAGGGGTCCTGATAGTGACAAGTCCTGGGCCCTAGGGTTTTCCCCAAGATAGCCCTCCTGTCCTGAGTAAGCAGTTTTTGGTTCGGCAATCATCTGGCACTGGAAAGGCCTCCGAGAGGCCGAACACAAAGATACCACATACAGGACATGGTGTGTGTGTGGTTTCTACGGCTACGGTTGCCTACGAACGCTGGCCTACGGCATAGGCCGCTGTGCCACTGGGGAGGTGGTGCGGCGGTCATCATGGGTGCGCGGCCCCTGGGCTCCGAAGCCTCCCGAGACCCCCTCTGCCCCCCCCCCCAAAAAAAACAAGAAACCACACACAGGACAGATACCCTTCAGGACCCTTTTCCCTCGTGGGCGCTGTTCCAGAGAGATGAAAAACGAATATCACGGACGCGTGCGTCGTCATTCAAGTTGTGCGTGTTACTCATTTGCTGCTTGTGCCAAAGCTGGTGGCGTGGTGCTGCCCGGCTAGCGTGACATTGTGTTGCCTAGCCGGCTGGCGTTGCCCTCCAGCAGTCACACGCTCATGGTGTTGCCCGGCTGGCGTGACACTGACGCCGTATTTGCTCTTCGAACGTTGCGGCCCCGCCGATGCCCCAGCCGATCCGGGCGGGCTCCGTGCAGCACTCGGCTCGCCCTGGGCTCTTCCGGTGCGGTGCGGGGAGGACGGTCCCGCCGCCCTCGCCACCTCTCCGAGGACGCTCGCTGCCGCGCGATGCGAAAGCAGTCGCCTCCGAGGTGGGGCCTCATCCCTCTCCCCCCCTGATCTTCGGGGGGGCCTCGTCACGAGACGGATCGACGGGGCTCCCCGGGGGGCGCGAACCGCCTCCTGCCGAGGTCTCCGAGGATCGATCACCCCGGCGGTGGTTGCGGCGACGCGCCCGCCTCGCGGTCCAGGTCACACGAGTGCCACGTGCTGGCGTTGATCTCTGAGTGTGGCGGCCAGTTTGGTTTGCCAGCGCGGGCTGGCCTAACCCCACTCCTCGATCAGGATCCCCCCCACACACTTGTTCCCGCCGCCCGGAGCAGCTCCTCGAAGATTGCTTTGCCCTTGGCAGGTATCTCCAGCACGAACGGCTGGAACGGAAGCTCGGCATTCACGGCGTTGCCTCACAGCTATATTTGGCTACTGCACCATATCGAACCCCGTCTCCTCCTTCTCAAACATTGGCAGTCATCATCCCTCCCGTTCTGTCTCATCGTTCCTCCCTAATCATCCCTCCATCCTCCTCTTCCTCCCTACCCCTCCTCCGTCCCCCATGTAACCTTCCGCATCCCCCTCCGATTAACTTCCTTCCTCCTGCCACCTGGTTCCTCCCGCCTCTCCTCGCAGGGGCCCACGAATATGACGAGACTCTCGCAGCTCGCAGCCCCCATGGAGTGCGAAGCCTCGTTGGAGTCCGCGTCGGATATCACTCTGCTGGACCTCCCAGGAGCCAACGAAAGTAACGACAGTTGTGCATGTGGCAGCCCCCAGGGAGGGCGAGGTCTTGTCCAGGTCCGCGTAGGACGTCACTCTCCGGGACCTCTCAGGAGCCCACGAAGGTGGCGGCAGCTTCGCTGTTGGCAGCCGCCAGCCTCCCTACTCCCTCCTCTTCCTCCCTCGCTGGAGCGGACCGGTCGTCAATGCCGCACGGCCCCGAAACAGGCAACTCGAAGGGGCCAGGGAGCCTCCAGCTCCGGAGTGCCCAAGTCCAAGCCGCCGCTCCGCTCTTCTGGCGGCGCGACGCTGCAAGGCGCTCTGCCTGGACCGCCCATCGTTCTCTTGGGCCAGCCCAAGCTTGGCCAGAAGCCCCGAGCGAGGCCCCGACCGACAACCGACCTGTCCCCGGCTCGGAGCTCGCCCTCGTGGGGCCTCCCGAGGGACTCCCTCCTTCTCCTCCTCCTCCTCCTCCTCCTCGTCCTCCTCCTCCTCCTCCTCCTCCTCCTCATCATCATCATCATCATCATCATCATCATCATCATCATCAGCATCATCATCATCCTGCTTCTCCTGCTCATCCTCCTCCTCCACCTCCTCCTCATCCTCCTGCTTCTCCTCTTGCTCCTCCCCCTCCTCCTGCTTCTCCTCCTCCTCCTCCTCCTCCTCCTCCTACTCCTGCTTCTCCTCTGCTGCTCCTCCTCCTCCTTCCCCCACGTCGTGCTCGTCGTCCACGGCGCGAGCCCTCCCCCCAGAGCTCCCTCGCCCCCCCCCCCACACACACACGCATTCCCGGGACAGGCCTCTCGCCGCGGGGAGCCTCGGGCCGCGGCACCGCACACGAGGATCTTCCGTGCACGCGTGCGCCGCACACCTCCCCCCTCGAGTGGAGACAATTAGGCCAGCCGATCAGAGCACGTCGGCGCAGCTGCTGTCAGTAGCAGGCCAACGGCTCGCCCCCTGCCGGGCTCTTCTGAGCCAAACTGCCTGCTGACATCCACGGACGACGTGCATGCAGAGGTGTACGGGAGCTGTGCCCCAACGCGTGCATCGTGCCTCCATCACGACGTTTCGCATCATGAGCTGCTCCATCCTGACTTCTTGCGCACGTGCTGGGCAATGCTCCCACCCCCTTTGGGAGATTCCCTCTCGGGGTCGTTTTTACTCGCGACCGCCGCCCTCAACGCAGGTTGGCAGTCCACCTCGGCGCTGCCCGTCTCGGTACTCCTCGCGACGGTGGCAACACACCGCCGGCGGACTTCAAGGCCGTGTGCGGCGCCGCGCCCCGTCTGCTGGCCCACCTTGCCGACGCCTCGGCCCGTCCGCCCGAGCACCCGCTCGGCCAGCCCCGCCGCGGACGCGCTGCTCAGGCTGGCTCGACGGCCGCGCCCTCCTCCCCTCGCTTCCCGCTCTCCTCCTCCTCCTCCGCCTCCTCCTCCTCCTCCTCGTTCTCCTCGTCCTCCTCCTCCTCCTGCTCCTCCTTGCTCCTCCTCCTCCTCCTCCTCCTCCTCCTCCTCCTCATCATCATCATCATCATCAGCATCATCATCATCATCATCATCATCATCATCATCATCATCATCATCATCATCATCATCATCATCATCATCATCATCAATCATCATCTTCATCATCTTCATCATCATCATCTCATCCCTCTCCACTCCTCTCCTCCTCCTCTGCTCCTCCTCCTCCTCCATCCTCCTCCTCCTCCTTTCCTCCTCCTCCTCCTGCTTCTCCTCATCCTCCTCCTTCTCCTCCTCCTCCTCCTCCTCCTCCTCCACGTGCTCCTCCTCCTCCTTTCCCTCCTCCTCCGCCTCCTCCTCCTCCTCCTCCTCCTCCTCCTCTTTCCCTCCTCCTCCTCCTCCTCCTCCTTTCCCTCTCCTCCTCCTCTTTCCCTCCCCTCCTCCTCCTCCTCTCTCCTCCTCCTCTCCTCCTCCCCTCCTCCTCCTCCTCCTCTCCGCTTCTCCGCCTGTCCCCCTCCATCTCCTCCATCTCCTCCATCTCCTCCTTCTTCTCCTCCTCCTCCTCCTCCTCCGCCTCCTCCTCCTCCTCCTCCTTCTCCTCTCCTCCTCCTCCTCCTCGCGTCCTTCCCCGTCCCCTTCTCCCTCCTCCCCCGTCCCTCCTCCCTCCTCCCTCCTCCCTCTTCCATCCTCCCTCCTCCATTCGCTTCCCTCTCCTCTGCGCTCCGCTCGCCGTGCAGCGACCCCGCCTCCACGCTTCCACCGCGCCGCGCGAGAGAGCGCCCACGCCACGCCACGGATCAATTGCCCCTCGCCGCATGACGCCAGCCCTTGCTGTCCTGCGGAGGCCGCGGAGACGCCCCCTGGACTCCGAAAGCCGAGGGGGGGCAAAATCGGAGGGGGGCCAGGACGAGGAGAAATCCGTTCCAGGGCGATCCGGAACGTTCGCAGAGCGTTCTGGAAGGCTCCGGGAAGGCCGCGGCGCCCGATACCTCCTCCAGGGCCGCCGGATTTCAGGGAGTCTCGATTTATCCTC